ACCTGTGCACAATTCTCTGCATAGAAAAGTAGCAGAATTCTAGGTATTTCTATTCTTGAATTATATGAACATGCTGGTAGTTCACCCAGCTCTACAAAGTCCATAAGGAACAGTCTTCAATGAATGATTTATTTGACACATTTCGCCGCTTTTTCTGATTCTGTAAGTGAATTTCTCAGTCAGGCTTTGATATTATTTTGGGTGACAAGTTTATTTCATTCTTATTTTGGGTGACAAGTCTATTTCGTTCTGTTGATTACTCTCCAACTATCCACTTCAACTGCTCAGTATTCACCATTTGCACTGTGTAATTAGCCAGTGCATTTGCTCCCTAATTAGATGACTCCAGAAGATATGCACAGCTTTCAATGAGACAATATGAATCTTCCCATCATGATTTCTCATGTGAATGATGAACAATGAAAAAGTATTTGCTCACTGGAACAGGGGTGGCAGGTTTGTAGAAATTTTGGAATAATTTTTAAAGAACAAAGCTTCTTCTTCAGTAGACATTGTCAAATCATTTTGCATTTGGAGCTTTTGAAATCCGATAGTTTTTGCTCTTCTGTATTGAGGGTTTCAAATCACTTTGCAACTATAGTTCCCAGTCTGGCACGCAAGCATGTGAATAGCTTTGAGACATTGTATCTGTAACATTACTAACTGATTGGAGAATAGTGACCTTAGTGGGTCAAACTCTTCCCCTAATTATACTGGTGTGAATCCACTGAAGTCAATGATATTGTCATGGTGTGATGAGGGTAGATGATTGTGCCAATGAATTAGCACACCTAGAAGTGGGTAAACATCATTGTCCCTGTTTGATAGGGGAACTGAGACATGGAGAAGTTCTGAAATGCCCAAAAATCTTGCACAAAATTTTTTATAAGTGCTGGTGCTAGTACTCAGAACTCCTGACGTTATTGCTTAACTTAAAGACCTTCCTTTCTTGCATTGCATTGTGTTGGACAATATTTGGAAGTCCTATCCCCCATTACAAATGAAGTTCTCATTGAAATCATGCCTGCACGTATTTTGGCCCAAATTCTCTACACAGCAATATTTCCCTCTACTGGTTTGAACCTTGCAATTTGGAGTTAAAAAATCAGCTTGCTAACATCTGATAATTAGCTGTTGTCAGTACCTGTATCATAGGTAACTTCCTCCATTCTCTAAGAATAAAAGCATACCTTGCTATCACTCTCATGGAAATGTGCCCTCGTTAAAACTCACTTTAGGTCACAGTTACATGCTTTTCTTGTTTCAGACAACACAGTGAAGTCATGGTTCATGAATTAAGAGGTCAATTGTTTGTCACTGAAGCTGAAAATATGTCCCAGAGGTTAGGCACCTGAGAGAGCCTTTAAAATGTTGTTAGGTTTCTGTGACACTAGTCCTTTGAAATAATGTGTTTGGGTTTTTAAAAAATACTTATTAAGGAAGAAACCAGCACTTGCCTTGATCACCGTCATCTGGAACTCTAGCTTGGAATCTTTTACCACTGTATTTGAATGAAGTGGCACATATCAGTGATACTTTGTTGTTGTTAATTCAGAAGTTAAACTCTTCTGTTACATAGTGTAAAGCTCAACAGGTTGCTGGATTAAAAGTCTCAGGGGGTAGTCATGTTAGTCTGCAACTAAAAAAACTTAAACAAAAAATGGTACATTAGCACCTTAGACACTAACAAAAATATATAGAGATAGCATCATGAGCTTTTGTGGACACAACCCACTTCTTCAGATGAATGGAGTAAGGGGTCCGGAGGTACAAATATAAAGCAGAAAAAGAGGGAAGAATAGGAGGGAAAAAAACTGTCAATTAAAGTGCCTGTGCTAAATGAGGCTAATAGAGTGGGCTGTATGTGTCTGATACTTAGCTTTTGATGTAATTTGGGTGCTGAATACAAGGGCCCATCCAAGATATGTCTTTGTTCAATCCTTGGGTGAATCTGTAAAATTTGCATATGAAGGCCAGTTCTGCAGACTCTCTCTAGTTGCTTCCTGAAATTACTTTGTGAGAGGATAGCCACTTTTAAGTCCATTAGTGAGTGCCTGGGCAAGTTAAAATGTTTCCCAACAGGTTTTTGTGTGTTACCATTTTGAATATCTGATTTGTGTCCATTAATCCTTTGTTGTAGAGGCTGTCCAATTTGGCCAACATGGCAGAGGAGCATTGCTGGCACTTGATGGCGTATATCCCATTAGTGAATGTGCAGTTGTATGAGCCTCTGATATGGTGATTTAGGTCCCGTGATGGTGTTGCTTGTGTAAATTTGTGGACAGAGTTGGCACTGGAGTTTATTGCAGAGTGGGTTTCTGGGTGAGTATGTTTGAGGTGTGATGTGTGGTTGCTGGAAATAATTTGTTTCAGGTTAGGGGATTGTCTGTAGGCAAGGATAGGCCTGTCCCCCAATGTGAGCAAGGGATTGTTTTCCAGGATAGGCTGGAGATTAATGATGCGCTTGGAGGAGTTTAAGTTGGGGGCTGTAGGCGATAACTAGTGGTGTTCTGTTATTTTGTTGTTTGGGCCTATCTTGAAGAAGCTAATGTGTGGGTACTTGTCTGGTTCTGTCAATCTGTTTTTTTTCCACTTCCCCGGGTGGGTTTTAAGAATGCCTGATAGAGATCCTGTAGGTGTTTGTGTCTGTCTGTGGGATTGGAGTAAATCCGGTTGTACCTTAGGGCCTGGCTGTAAACAATTGATCGGGAAATGTGTCCTGGATGGAAGCTAGAGGCATGTAGGTAAGTGTAACAGTATAAGGTGGTGGAAATGTGACCATCATTTAATTGTAGAGTCGTGTCAAGGAAGTGAATCTCTTGTGTGGATTGGTTCAGGCTAAGGTTGATGGTGGGGTAGAAGTTGTTAAAATCCCTGTGGAATTCTTAAAGGGTCTTCTTCCGGTGGGTCTATATGATGATGATGTCATTAATGTAGCATAAGTAGAGTAAGGTGCTAGGGGATAAGGGCTGAGGAAACGTAGCTTATCCATAAAGATGTTGGTGTGTTGTGGGTCCACGTGGGTGCCTATAGCTGTGCCGCTGACTTGAAGACATAAAGTGTCCCCAAATTGGAAATAGTTGTGGGTGAGGACAAAGTCACAGAGTTCAGTCATCCGGTGTGCAGAGCGTCATCAGGGATAGTGTTCCTGGCAGCCAGTAATCCATCATCATGTGGAATGTTGGTGTAAAGAGCTTCTACATCCATGGTGGCCAGGATGGTGTTTTCAGGAAGATCACTGATGTTCCATGGTTTCCTCAGGAAATCATTGGTGTCTTGAAGGTACCTAGGAGTGCTAGTAGCATAGGGTCTGAGGAGAGAATCAACATAACCAGATAATCCTGCTGTAAGTGTGCCAATGCCTGAGATGATTGGAAATCTGGGATTTCCAGGTTTGCTGGTGTTGGGTAGCAGATAGAAAACTCCTGGTCAGAGATTTGGGGAGGGGGGTGTTTGTATTGATTTGGGCCTGAGTTGTAGCAGGGAGTTTCATGAGTAGAGATTTAGGGGTTTTTTGGAATTCTTTAGTGGGATTAGAGGAGAGAAGCCTGTAGAATCTGGTGTTGGTGAGTTGTCTGGCAGCCTCCTGTTCATAATTTGTTCTGTCTATGGTGACTGCAGCACCCCCTTTGTCAGCCTCTTTGATTATAATGTTAGAATTGTTTCTGAGGCTGGGAATAGCATTGCATTCTTCATGGCTGAGGTTCTGAGCTTGATGATCCAGAAAACCAACTCTTCTGTGGAAAGAGACCAAACTACCCTGCATACACGTTCATTACAATTGAAATTATTTTTACTCATCTTAGGAGTCTGGCTTCATATGGATAAAGAGGTGGGCCAGGGAAGACAAAATTCCCCAACCTATGTGGCAGACAGGACACGGTGCATCAGTGAAGCTGTTCCTATGGCTGGTACTCTCGTCCGGCCGTGATGCAGTAGCACATTCTTACCATATTTCCATGAAGGGAACTTGATCTGTCTGACACTAACTCTCATCAGAGTCCTGTCAGGTTTAAGAAATGCCTAGGCCTAATATTACAGGGCACTGTGTGACTTCATAGAAGCTTGTCAGAGCTGAGGGAACTACCCAGCAACTCGCCAGATCAGGCACTCTGCCAGCATATCCATTTTCTTGAGCTCCCCACTTAGTTTGGTCTTGCACCTCGGAAGTCAATGTGATTTTTTGCAGGTGGCTTTAGCCGGAGCTGGATCGATCTCTGT